TTAAGCACATTTCACTTGGTGTTGACTATGTTTTAAAGAACAATGGCAACAGCAATCCATCCATCAATCAATCAATCAATCGATATGCCATAAAACCTTATAAGCATCCCATGACATTGGTCTCTCAGTGCTTGCTAGAAAACAAAATGTCAAAATACTTGATTCTGGTGCACAGGAAGATGCAACTGTCCTTGGGTATTCCCTGCCTTTTTCTCCCCTTACCACATCCTGGTTTTCCTCACAAATAGGCCAAGCTACACAAGTGAAAACAACAGAAACCCCCAAAACATGCCTCCAGAAGCAGCGGTCAGGGATCAGCCAGCCCATTTGTAAATGGATGCATGGAACAGACTACATCCATGCCTTATTTTTTTAAGATGGTACCTTTCCATGTTCAGCTTTGCCGCATCACTCATGAGACCAGAATCCAATCCAAAAGGGGGAAAGAGAAGCACTCGCTGCAACCTTGACTTGTCACAGATCATCTCCATGCCCAGGAGAAAGCTGGGAGGTTTCCCAGGAACCGCGACACACCAGAAACAAGAAGGACTGTAAAACGCTTCCGCCAACAGTCGGTGAAAGGCAGCTGGGAGCTCTGCAACAGGGTGCAATGGCTGCGACCCTCCTCCCGTCCAGCTCTGAGTCCTGTACCTGGGACAGCAGCTGGATGGGTCTCAGGTGGGCCTGCAGCCGGAGCTGGCCAATGAAGGAATTGCAGGGGGGCTTTTCCAAAGTGACACAGGTTCAGGGGACATTTCCTTACAGCCAGCGGAAAAGCTGTTAAGCTGAGCTCGCGCAAGGTAGATTATGCCTGAGTGGCAAGCCATGCTAACCTTCATCTCCAGCTCACTCTGTTTCTGCTTTGCCTCTAGCTTGACCCTGAAAGAGCTCATTGCTTTTACACCTTCAGAAGGAGCCCAAGGAAACGGCACCCTCCTCTTTCCCTCCTGACCCAACCAGTTTCCCCGCATGGCCAAGGCTCTCAGCAGGTCATCGTCTAGTCTCTGGTACAAAGACATCGGCCTAGGACTGCGCAGGCGCATGTCGCTGTGGCTCCATAGTTATCTCCTTCACCAGACTGACACGCATCTCAACAAGAGCCAACAAATAGATATTTGTTAAAAGGGAAACATATATTTCATTTCCAAACACAGAGAAACGACAATGCCAACAAAACAATATAGGAAAACATCGTCCCCCGTCCAAAGATAGCTGGATGCATCCATACACTTTAGTAAAACTTCCATCAGAAGGTAAAAATGCCACATTGTCTTACCTGAAGAAGCCAGTAGCACCTTCTGTGGAAAGTGGGGATGATTGAAGAGTGGACGTAACAGCCGTAGAGGCACTAGAGGAAAAAGAAGTTTGGAGTTAGAGGAGGAAGACACAGACTCAGGGGACCACAGGATCGTACAGCTGGAAGCAGCCCGGCAGTCCTGCGGGTCCAACCGCCTGCACAGGCACGGCTTCAGTCACCCATCCAGATTTCCACAGGCCTGACCCTGCTTAGCTTCCAAGATCAGGCAGGATCAGGCGCTTCAGCCTGAGAGCAAAAGAAAAACTGCCTCTTGTTGAACATTAAGTCAGAAGTGTGCTGATCAATATCACTCAGTGCCACACTGGACTATTTGCTGCCTTTTTGTTTTGGAGATTGCCTATTAAATACGGCCAGAGAGAGCTGGCTTTGCAGTCAAGAAGTGGGCAGATGTGGCCAGACGCCCTCCCACCTCAAGGCCTGCTCATTCCAGAGCACTCTCGCAGGATGAAAGGGGCAGCGTCAATTATGCTTGGGACCGGGACACACTGACCTGCGAGCTGAAGGAGGCCCACCCCCTTCTCCTGCCCTCCCTTCCTCTGCAAACACCTGCCTTCTGTCCTCAGGTTTTCATACGTTAAGCCTGTGTGTCTGTGTTTCTGGATATCCAGAAGGGTTCTCCTCTACCCTAAACCAAGTCCCCGTGTCTTTCTTCTGACCTCTTTGAGAACTGAACGCTTGTAAACCGAGGCCTTTGCACGGTGCAGTGAAAGCAAGACTCTTGCTTGGGCTTCTCATTCCCATGTCATCTGCTCAATACTGTGCCCTCAGTTAGCTCTACAGAGCTCAGCCTAGTAAAACTTCAACTGAACTTTTGAGTGTTTTGTTTTCTATTGAGCAGCACACACAGAAGGGAGACTAACGAAATAGCATTAACACTCAGCAACATCGCAGAGCTGCTCTGCTTCGCAGAAGCTCATTTGCATCTGAGCTGCAAGGAGGTGAATCAATAACAAAACATAGCCAAGAAAGAATTCCAGAATTTTCTTCCTATGCTCTCTGAAAAATTCCGCTCCTCTAAGAACTGCCCTCCTGGATCCACTTGTGGCCAACAAATGCTGCCACAAGTTTAGGAGGGGATTTCCCTTTTCAGTGCATTACTGCTGGCAATCAAAGCTAGGCTGCCTCAAATCTGGAGGTCCAAACAGAGATCCAAATTTGACATTTTCTGATGATAACCATATACAGTCCTAATCCTTACTCTGCAGATACACACCTGTTCTGCCAGGCAGGTAATTAGTTCACATCTCCATAAAAGAATACACAACATCAGCAGGATATCGGACTCAAGCCCCTCGAGGCACGTGATGAGAAAGACGCCAGGCCGTGTGTACTCACGGCTCTGGCCAAGGGAGGGAACTGCGGAACCGGCCAGACCTGCCAGCCGGGCGCGAGGGTGAATGGGCTCAGCGGCCGCAGTCGGGGCAGTGGCCGTGCTGCTCGCCCGCGGCTCTGAGCCAGGAAGCTGTGCTGCCATAAACACGGGCAAAGGCAGGTCGCAAAGCTCCCCTGCGGACTAATGCATTTCATACGTGATGTAAGTACCTCTTGGTTTCCCTCAGCTCTTAACCACAGATATTTTTTCTTTAAATAGCAAATAAAGAAAATAACATAGACTGTAATCAGTTTTAGCACTGCTTTCTATTGCATTTTCTTAGTTATTATAAACCATCCCTGGAAATTTGACATAGGTTCGTGGCAGCAATTTTTTCAATGCAAATCAATCAATCATATATCTCTAATACTGAATAGCTGCAGAAATACTGGGAGTTGAAGTCCAACACATAGTCTCTGGAGTGGGAGAGAAGAGAGACAGGGTGCTGGACAAGAGGAAGACAAGTAGGTATATGGGGTCACCACAGTCGATTCTGGATCTTGAGGAGCAGATTTGTTCCATGACTGCCCAGAAATGGGTGGAAAAGATGGCCAACTGATCTGGCTTTCTAGCTGTTGCTCCCAGCCCCCAGCCCCTTTAATACTGCCTCACCAAGCAAGTTTAGCACCCTTCATTGCCAAAGCATTTTAAAATATTAACGCTATTAAGAGCTATATACACTGTAAATATTTTAAAATGAGCTGCTCTGTGTAAATATTAGCAAGCCCCAGATGCCATAAAGCCGAGGATTAAGATAAAGCAGTTTTCAGATAAAGTCAAACTTTTGCTTCCTGCCTCTTTGCTGCTGAAATAAATACCAAGGCTAAATAAGTTATGAGCTGTTACTGCTTCCCCTAAAAATATTAGCTTTTTTTCCTCTGGATTTGCTTGCAGATTCCTTACAATTGTAGAAGATACCATGCAGAAATAACCCGGTGCCCAGATGGAAGCCCAGGGTGGGTGACAGCAGCCAGGACTGCTTCTGCCGCCAGCTCTGGCCAGTGCGGGTTCACGGGAGCTTTGCCAGCTTTTTCATGCTGGACTAATTTCTGGGTTCAGTGGACATTGCCACAGGCCAGCAACATCTTTCTGGGACACTTCTCCACAAAAGAGCTAAGCAGGTGTTATACTGCAGATTGGAGTCCTTCTTGGGCACTGCGATTGCCAGCGCTTGCCTCGATGGGGCACTTCCTACCCGTGCATTTATGCTTTTTCTCTACTGCCATGCTGAAACCAGAGTAGTTTACAACAAATTCTGAAAATCAACAACCGTCGATTAAAAATGTTTTAAAGCACTTGAAACAATGCTATAGCTTGTAAGAACAATAAAACCCCTAGTTGATGAAGCTCCTTCCTGCACCCGGGGTGGGGGGAGTCAGCCGTCCAAGGGAGTGCATCCAGAAAATGGGAGGGAGAGAGAAGAGACCCCCATGTGCCCAACAAATGGGCCAGCAAGGCTCCCTCCACGAGGGCTGCTCCTGGTGACCCTAAGAGCTGGGCAAGTCCATGCTGGGACAGGTGATCCCTCCAAAGGAGGCCCTAAGCCAGCACTGTGGTGCTCGGCCCGGCTCGGCTCGGCTCAGCCTGGCTGCCAGATTCCACCAGTGGAGGCTTCCAGGAGTGCTTTGAGGGAACAGGGTCTCTTCAGCCTGAAGAAGAGGAGACTCTGAGGGAGTCTGTTGGTGACCTAGAGGTCTGTGAGGGGGTGTCACACGGAGGTGGGTAGAGACCTGTTCTCCCCTGCAGAGGAAGGAGGACATGCTCCAACAGAGCAGAGCTCAGGGAACCAAGGTTCAATTTGGATGCCAGGAAGCACTTCCTGACAGTCAGGACCCCGAGGGCGTGGAATGGGCTTCCATGGGAGGTTGTTGAGGCCCCATCGGTGCGGGTGTTCAAGGATAGGCTGGACATGTACATGGTGGGCATGTCGTGAGCGGAGCCGGCTGGTGCCGGAGGTCAGACTAGATGGCCCGGGAGGCCCCTTCTGGCTCGCTCTCTGTTTCTTGGAGACGAGCATTGCAGTGGTCTCAGCCGGAAGCTGCCGAGTTGCGGTCAGGCCCTGTGCCTCACCTCTCCGGCTGGGCTGGCACAGCTGAGTCCCGCTGTGTGGGGCAGGCCATGCCCACCTCCTGTGCATGCCTGTGAGCGCCACTGGTGCTGCCTTCCCTGACGGATCTGCGGGCAGCTTTCCCAGCATGGCACATGCTATCTCTGAGCATCCCTCCTGCTTGTCAGCCAGCTGCCATCCCTGCTGCCTTCGCATTCTGGCTCTGTGGAAGCCACCACGGCACGGAGCTGCTCTGACTAGTGTCGGGGGTGGAAAGATGGGCAGAGGCCAGGGAAGCAGCGATCCTTCCCTAACGCTTTCCAAATGCAGAGGCTGCTCCTGGCAGTCCCCCTGGGCTGAGCTCCCCCAGGCTCAGGGCTTCGGCACTCTCCTTCCCTCGGTGTCCTTCCCGATGCAAAGGGTAGGCGAGGCGGCCCTTGTCGGAGCGGTGCCAGGCATGTGAAGGGGGCAGGGCACCGAGCGGACACGCGTGTTCACGGGGAATGTGGTGGATCTGGGAGTGCCCGTGCCCAGAGGATCAAGCTCCTGGGTTGGCGTGGCCAGCCCCGGTGCCCGGCACTGCAGGACTCCACCGCAGCCTCCCTGGAGCCCGCAAAGCCTCTCCTTGGCGAAGGCAACCCACTGCCTGCCAGAGATCCCACCGGCAAACACGTGCTTGGGTGGGGGCTTCCTGGCCTGCGTCCGCACCACTTCCAACTCCGCCAAGTCCCGCCGCAGCGCTCTGGAGCAGCCTCTGGAACATGGAGTGGGCAAGCCCGGTGAAGCGCCACAAGTGTGGCTGGGTGCATCGGGGTTCAAACGCATGCTATGGATTTGCAGCGCCCTGTTTTTCTTTCCGAAAACAAAACAGCTTTCAATTAAAATGTGATAACGCACTTAAAACAACCTCATAACCCATAAGAACAATAAAAACCCCTAGTTTTTATTGCTATTTTTAAATTTTATCTTCCATACCATTTATGAAGAAATTTGAAATTTTGGATTTTTAAAAAATAAAAACAAACCAAGCAAACAAAAATCTTCCCCTTTCCTAGCACAGAGTCTTGCAAGGAGGAAGGTTTGATGCTGGTCTCAGACACCAGAAGCAGCAACTCAGACAACCCACATGGGATTTGAACCTGGCCCGCTGAGTCAGTGCTGAGTACCCAATGCCCCCACCCCACCTACCCCTCCCTGTAAATTGGCCCTGGAGGGACCAGAGTGGCCCCGACGTGGCCAGGCAATGCGGAGCCCGAGCCAGACCAGGAGAGGGCTGGAACATGAGCATTGTCATCGCCTGACACAGGGTGAGACCACCAGGGCAGAGCAGAGCCCACCTCACTCGGCCTCCACTCCCACAGTGCCCACCAGATGCCTGCGGGGGGGGGGGGCACAAGCCAGTTGTGAGCGCAGCAGCATCCATGTTCCCCAGCAACAGGCAACCCAAGGGTATCTTGCCTCCGCAGAGCTTCATGACTACGCTGATACAAGGAGACTTCTTTTCCATGGTTTTGTCTAATCTCCTCTGAAAGCCATCAAAGCAGGTGGCCACTTCCATAATCTATGTCCTGCATGAAGGCCTTCCTCTCCTCTGTCCTGGACAACCATGCT